TAAAGTATCTAGACTAAAATGAAAAAAAGATAATAGTTAATAGATGATTTATTAAATTAAGCCATTTAAAGTTAACATTTTACTATCAGCATCAAAAAAAATTATTCTCTTTAAATCATTTACTTTTTTGCTTTTAATCTATTCTAAAAATAAATTTCAATGATTTACCTCCTCTTTTGAGGAAAATTTTTCTCAATATTTCTTATTTTTAAAGAATTTTAAATTTGAAAAAAATAATTTAGTTGAACTCTGGATGACTTAGGGATTCTTTCACCGACCTAATAAAAACTATGCCACAATGGAGGACATTGATTTAAAATTGTTTGCTTAAGGTGATACTTTCGTTTGGAAGATTGGTTGCAAAATATTTTAACAACATATATTTAGTAGGACTTTAACAGAATCATAACATAACATAATGTTACATATTAAACTTTTAGTTATTTATCCCATTCAAGTACTTAGTGGGGTCATTTATCTCCATTTTGTATTGAAGGTAAGTGGATTTGTTAACTATAGTTAAGAGATGAATTTGGACACGCCACCTTAATACATCAATAAGATTATAAGATAATCAAGATTAAAAAAAAAAGATAAATAGTGTACCAGAAGGTTTAGTGGACAAAATTGAAGAAATGGATGGCCAAATTAAAAGTAGCAACCGCTTAGCTTAAATATTTCATGCCTAGTTATCTGTAACCAGAGGGATGCAATCAATATTTCCTGGAAGACAAATATGATGATTCAGAAAGATCACTTGGAGACACTTGTATGTTTACTAGAAGTGCAAAAAAAAAAAAAATCTCACATTATTAACTAAGTAGCTACTAATTAATTCGATAAAAGCAGACAATTTGAAAAAAAATCCATAAAACCAATAAATATTCTAATTAAAACGAAGATTTTTTTGTTATAAAGACATGCATCTATAAAAAAAATTTAAATATTTTCATTTTATATTTTAAAAAAAATATATAACTGAATCATGATCGAAGATCTAAATGGTATACCTGTAAATTTCACCAAAAAAATTGTAGAAGACACAAACCCTGATGGATAACCAAATTAATTAGCTAAGCCGAGAGCATTAGAAGTAGCAGTAAATCAGTTCAATTGCAGAGCTAATTCCGTGAGATGATACAAGAGTGAGCCGGCTAAGGAGAAGAGGAGAGAACTTGTACAAATAATAGCTGGAAATTTCACGGAAGATGCTTGGCAAATGTGAACTGAAGAAAACCCTGTCCAAGGATAGACTAAAGACACAAGCTCTATTGCTTGGGATACTGCAGGTGTTGGGAATTAAAGTTTACTTCTCATTTTAAAACTTTAAAGCACCGCAAATTTCCTGGAATATATTGTAGTGGTATTGTTTTGTTTTTATTCAATAGGGCTATGATGGTCATTGCC